GCCGTAAACYAAATAGGAGATGTGGCTTTTGCAAGAACGGARTATGTATAAAAAGCTCAAGGAATGGTTATATTTGTCAATGTAATCCTGSTTACACAGGTGCAAGATGTGATCATCGACTTCCGTGCACTGATAACCTATGCAAGAATGGTGGTTCCTGTCGAAGTTTTGGAAACACCTTCAGATGTTCATGCAAACTAGGATTTACTGGTACCTTTTGTGATGTRAGACTCTCGCCGTGYCACTCAAATCCTTGTCGACATGGTTCTTGTATAGATCGACCCAATGACTTCATCTTTGAATGCCGTTGTAATTCAGGATATACCGGCTTAGCTTGCGATGTACGAATGTCGGCATGTCAATCAAACCCTTGTGGGAAGCAAGGGACATGTGTTGATGCTTACAATAGGCCCGGCTATCGCTGTAATTGTAATCAAGGCTACACTGGCTCTGTCTGTGAACTAAGAATCTCTTTGTGTCAATCCAATCCTTGTAAAAATGGCAAATGCTTAGATCTAGGTAAAGACTTTGGTTATCGATGCTTGTGTGATCCAGGCTTTACGGGAGCTATGTGCAGTGTAAAATGGACAAACTGTTATTCAAACCCTTGTCAACAAGGCAYATGTGTTGAAGATTCTAGAAGAGGGTTTGTTTGCCATTGCGAGAACGGATTTGGAGGACGCYATTGTGAGGAAAAGTACAATCAATGYCATTCTTCACCGTGCGTCAATGGGCTTTGCATTGCTRGACAAAGCAACTTCACATGCGTGTGCCCTTCTGGTTTTACTGGTAMACGTTGCGAGAAGGTCGTCAAACCATGTACCAAGAATCCATGCTTTAGTGGARTATGCGTTGAAATTGATGGAACAATCCARTGTATTTGTACAGATGGWTTTGCAGGRCGCCATTGTAATCAAAATCTGCGCCTTTGTTCACCAAACCCTTGTTTCCATGGAACATGTACTCCAGAGATCGAATCTTTCACGTGTCAATGTGAAAAAGGGTTTTCTGGGTATTTATGCAACAAAGGAGATGTGAGCACCTTAGAAAAACCAACTAGTGCAATAAATACATCTTTAAACGCATGCTTCCCAGATCCATGTAGCACTGGAAAGTGCATACCTAGAGGGAATACCTTTGTATGTGTGTGCCCAGAGGGAGTTACTGGCGCAACATGTAGTAAAAAAGTGGATTTTTGTAATCCTAATCCTTGTGTACATGGTGACTGTACCAACGCACTGAAATCGTATCACTGTACCTGTAAACTTGGATATACTGGTCGATATTGCAATACAGCGCTTCAAGGTACGATTAAACAAAAAAGAATACTATTCTTCCATRTGGTCATGTAACATATTTTTAGATTGACGATTCGTACTCTCATTAATGGGTCAGCTAATTTGATTTTGATCGTTATTTTCTTGGCAGATCCCTGTAGAACTAATCCTTGTRTGAATGGCAGATGTTCGCTTACCTCTRATAMCAGCTTCAAGTGCAATTGCCTTCCTGGTTTTACTGGTCAACTTTGTGACAAGGCGAATCCYTGTCAGCCAAACCCTTGCCAATACAGCGGAAGATGTCARCTTCKTTCAAGTACGACATATGCATGTATCTGTMRAGATGGTCATGGTGGAAAAAACTGTGAGAAAATTCTTAATCCTTGCTTGAGAAACCGCTGTCGYCGTGGAAAGTGTGTATCAAATACAGTGGGCGTAATCAGATCTGATGTGTTGTTGTACCATTGCAAGTGTGATGCTGGATTTACAGGAACGTTTTGCGACATTATGATTGACTACTGCAAAAACAATTTATGTCAGAATGGAAATTGTGCAAAAAGTGGCGCGTCTTATCGATGTGTCTGTGATAAAAACTATTCGGGCAAGTTCTGCAATGAAACAATTAACCATTGCCTGTCGAACCCTTGCATRAATGGAAAATGCGTGAAAGGTTTTCGAAAGTACTCCTGTTCTTGTCATAAAGGTTATGCAGGAAAAAACTGTGAAATTACCATTGACTATTGTGCAAGTAATCCTTGCAAGAACGGTATTTGTGTTAAACAGGTTGGGTCATTTTACTGCTCTTGTCAATCAGGTTATACAGGGAAAACGTGTGAAGTTCGTCAGGACCCTTGTAGTGACAAYCCTTGCAGAAATGGAAGGTGCATAGCTTTAAGAACATCATTCTTTTGCATCTGTCGGAGACATTACACCGGAAAACACTGTGAAATAACAATTGATCCTTGTAAATCAAAACCTTGCCAATCTGGCACTTGTGTGACGACACGTGATCCCCTTGGATTTCATTGCGCATGCCCAAAAGGAATAACTGGAAAGACATGTGACCTTGACATTAATGAATGCTTGAGCAATCCTTGCTTTGGAAATGTTTCATGCACAAATTTTCGAGGAAGTTTCAAATGTGGATCATGTCCGCCAATGTATAAAGGCAATGGGACTTCCTGTACAAGAGTAGGCGAATGCGGGCAACTGCACTGTTATTCTGGGGTGAAATGCTTGAAACTAGGTGATGGAMATTATAAATGTGGAGACTGTCCGCATGGACTGGCAGGGAACGGTATTCACTGCACAAGTATGTATTCTAATGATGATTATATTTTATATTTTGTGTATCGTTTTAGGTAATTAGAGCGAAAACAAGAAATGTTGGTTTTACAATGYACAATTAATGCTTGAACTGTAAAGAAAACTGCAGATATTATTTTATTATTTTCAAGAAACACTTTAAAAAACAATTTTTTAGTGTGCCGTTGTGCAGTGTAAATTCACTTGAAGGGTAACGCAATTTTCATTTCTTTGTCTGTACGCTTCCAGTTCTCTGCTCCTCCCTAACAAATATCTGTATCCTTCATAGAAGCCAATATGTGCTCTCCAAACCCATGCCATCCGTCAGTTCCATGTTACMCAATTTCATCTCCAGTATCAAGTTWTCGGTGTGGACCATGCCCTGAAGGCTTCACCGGTAATGGCAAAATATGYAAAAGCTTGTGTCCGTCTTCGTGCCCTTCTGGCATGAAGTGTGTAGGTCCCTTCACGTGCCGATGTCCTAATGGTTATTACGGAATGGGGTGTAAAACAGCTTTCTGTGGAAGAGGATGTTATAATGGTGGGACATGCATTCGACCGGACRTTTGCAGCTGTCCAAAAGRTTTCACTGGCCCATCGTGTTTACAACGCGTCTGTAAACCKGCWTGTCGTAATGGAGGGTGGTGTCGTGCCAACAGGGAGTGCCAATGTCGATATGGCTTTGGAGGCCGTTATTGYGAACGTAAAAAGTGCTTTGTTAAATGTCTAAACGGGGGAACTTGCATGGGACCTCGTCTTTGCGTGTGTACACCTGAGTACGCAGGTCCTCGCTGTGGAATGCATATTGGTAAATAGTGTATTTAAATATACTTATTAACTTTAATAATTTTATCAACTTAATTTGTTTCTTGAAATCTCTTTTGTCCATTGTCTCCTTTTTCATTCCTTGTCGTCCTTCCCCGTTCTCCCTTCTTTCAATTGCTCTTTTTTGTCTCAGTTTGCTTGCACTAAATCGATTAACTCACTTCAAAGGTAAATGCTCTCCAGAATGYCAGAATGGTGGCACTTGTATGCGCAAGAACAAGTGCAGATGTCGGCAGGGCTATACTGGTAACCATTGCCAGACACCTGTTTGTCCAGACGCATGTCTCAACGGTGGAAAATGCATCAAACCTCACATCTGCTTATGCAATAGACAGTGGTTTGGTGAAAGATGTGAATATCCCGTATGTGYCTTTCCATGTTTGAATCGTGGTCGATGCGTCAGCCCCAACAAGTGCTCTTGTCGGTCTGGATACAAAGGSAGAATGTGTCATATCGGTGAGAAATCACGCGACTTGATTGCAAAAATTGTCTTATAAATAATAATTTAGAAAATACCAAGATATTCCTTTGAAATGTTAACTGTGAATTTAGTTGTTAAAAGACCTTTAGGTTTCTTTTTTGATTTAATTTTTTTTCTTTAAAGTGCATCTAATTGATGTTAACACTGTATAACATATTTTAGATACAATATAGTTCGGGTGCTGTTTACGTTAATACAAAGTTGATATGTTCAATTGGGTTAGTCTGYCAAGTTATGAGCTTCTTAACTCAGTGCTACACTTTGATCCATGTAATAAACATTCCTATATAGAAATATAATCAAAATTCTTCAATTCAAGTTTTATGGTCTAATGTTGGTATTCMCCTTTCAGCTATCTGCAAAGAAAAGTGTTTGAATGGAGGTCGATGTGTTCTTCCTGGTGTTTGTGCATGTCTGTTTGGTTTTACTGGACTACGATGTGAAAATACGTARGAAATAATACCATGCAGTTTCMGTCACATATACATTCATTTTTTTGCTACCCATTCCCTAACATTTTTTAATGTTATTATAAGAACTTGATTATTATAACAGAATAATTGACATGACATCAAATCTTTTTTGCAGGTAGTCCATCACAAAAAAGGAAACACAACTTCAAGAACATGAAGATTGTCAACATTATTTATCATATTAGTACATATCTGTCTTCTATGCAGTTTTTATCTGAACGTTATTTAAAAGCTTATATAATATCCTGTTAAAAGTGGGCCCATTGAACAGCAACTAAGGTGAATCCCATATGGGATAGCCCCCTCCCCCTGACAACAATTCAATAACTACAATTCAACATCAAATATATAATACATTTTTATAATTTCATAAAAAGACATCCTAAAACTTACATGTATTTACTGAACATTATAATAAATTGACATGTACAACAGTTACATGTATCAAGACAATGTTACTGTTGGTTACTTACAGTTATTTATTGTTATCTACAATGTTTGAATACAAATGGTCTGTTTACATGACACTAGGGGAGTGATAGATCAAAAGCAATTGAGATTAGAGTGATACATTTACAATGCAAGATGKTTGTATGCTGCACTTTGCAATATTTATCACATTTCTATTTAGAATGTATCCTTAACTGTCCTACAACTTACAGTATGGTTGTGTTTGGCTGCTATAATGTTACACCTGAAAGTGACTGTTGTATTTCATTAATTTCTGCTAAGATCTCATCTTCTGTTGCAATTTTTTTAATCTGYAAAACAAATTGAGTAAGCCATAGTGTCTATAAATTGAAATAACTATGTCAACAACATACAAACATGATGTCAAAGTACTCACTTGTAACTCTTCTAAAGTTTCTCCCTTTTCTCTCTTCTCTTTGAGATTATTAATTTGCTGTAATTTCTTTTTTAAGTTTCTCAATTTTTTTTCAAGAGGATTTAAGCTGCTACTAGTTTCTGCAGGTGTATTTTGGGAAACATCATTTTTCAACTCCAACTGTGGGTTTTTCACTGTGGATGTTTGTGGGACAGTTGCAACTTCATATTCTTCAAGTTGTTCTTGGTCRTCAACACTACAGAAATACAATTTAATCAAAATAGTGATATAAATTATATTACATTAATGCAGCCACTCGTTATGATAATGGTTATACCTGTATCCTGCAGCTTGATCTTGTGCCATCCAYAGTTTCTTTCTTAATTCTGCAGCTAATTTATGGTCCTGTCGATTTGATTTAGAGAACAAATTTGTGAGAAGGATGAAGAGAATGATAATTATATATATGTTTGGGTTATAATGGTTGTGTAGCCTAATGATGTTATGTGTTTTGGCAAATTACATCATGGTATTGATCAAAGTATTAAGATGGTGGGTGTCTAATACAAACCTAAGGTCCTTTACCCTACTTCATTAGGAGAAAGGACAAAAGCCACTGCTGTTCTTGTTTGTTTGATAAAACCAATCCTTAAAAGGACATTCTTTAGACAGCCATACCTTGTTATCTTTTGCTTGTTGAAGTTTCTTCTTCAATGCCATGATTGGATCTTCTCTTTCAAGAATCTTCTCCACAACTCCATCCTGTTTTATTTTGTCTATTCTTGCTTCTAATCTTTTTTGTGCCCTTTTCTTGTTCTTCTTCGCACTCTTGCTTTCATGACCATCTATTTGTGATTATCATTTTATCAGTAAAAAGGAAAATATTGATTTTTAGATAAAATCTCTTATTACTTAAGACTTAAAGATCACTTCCTTTTCAATCTACCATAATAGAACTGACAACAGTTTTACACGTGCGATCGAATCATTCTGGATTTCTCAAATACTGTAATCATTGGTTGTTCTTCAAACTACAGTAAGAGCATAACTTAARAAAAGAAAATCCATGTTTGGTTGTATATTCATTCCTGCAGAAACGTCTTAAAATCAAAAAGAATTTCAATCGCATTGACACTTACCCGCCATTTTGTTTTCATTGACTTTGTAGCCTTGCCTCATAATGAGAAGGGCCGGRGGGTCTTGGGAACTAGTCCTATTACTCCAAAATTGTCCAAAGTATTTCATACAAATACATGCAGTTATATATATATATATATCTATTTATTCTATTTCTCTTTTCAAATGCATTCATAAAAATAGACGATTTACAGGTAATTGTCGAGGAAGTTTATTTCCAATGGTTTTCATAGGACTTCTTTCTTTTTTTTCTCGATATTATATTTCCTTTATTGTATCATATTTTTTMTTATCTTATTCCTGATTAAAACTATTTTTTCTGATGTCTTGGTTCTTCTATTCATCCAASCTTACCATGGCAACATTCCATGTTACAAGAATGTAATCAGCCCTCCCCTCCCATCATGTAATTTATCGTCCTTCAGAAACCAGACGTTGATTGGCTGTTGGCGATGACGTACCAATCTCTCGGCGCGAGTAAAGTTATCTCGAAGGTTGGTAATATGGCGAAGTAATGGCGTTTTCCGCCCAGCCGGACCATGGGCAAAACGATCGAAAACAAAGAGGGTTTGCAAGTATAGCTAGAATTCCAAGTAAAGAAAGAACTAAGGTTTGTGGACATGCCTTCAGATAGCATTTTATAGAATATTCCCTCCCTCGTAATGCTATTATTCCGCGTACACGAGAGGGTCCAAACTTTGTTGGCAGTCACAAGTATTTTGAACTCCATATACTAATTTCCATCTAAAATTAAGAAAGCAGTGTTTCTTAATTCAGGTTTACATAATAAGTAATAATTTAAGTTTTTCTGTGCCTTTAAATATGCATTGTATATGTCGTAGTTTGTCCCAAATCCCGCTGCAAAACCCTTCGTGCCGAGTTCTAACTTCGACAAGTTAACTCGCTCTAACAAGACATGGTCCTCGGCAAACAGGAGGCAGAATTCGCTGTTGAAGGTAAATACATTCGCTGCTATACCGTTGACATTTTCAAATTACGAATTATCAGTCGCTTAATGTCATAGACAAGCCAAATGTTTTGTAAACGTTAAAATAACAGTATCAGCACTCGTATTTGCAAGCCGCCACTTGCTCGAAGATCAAAGACTGGGAAACATTGAAAATTTATGGAACTCTTCGGTTGCTTTGTAGTTTTCGAAAATTCTAATACTTCTTATATTCAACWACACTTTAACGTACCCCCTTTCTTGATAGCGCGTGTAATCACTAGAGCACTGAGGCGTTTATTAAAGTTAAAAAAATATATATTGGCTCCTATTTAAATTCTAAATTTTGTGTTCAACTTTTCAAACGTGTAAACTTTRCAATAGCCAAAGTAACAAAAAGATTTTCCAAAGTTTCCAAATCCTATATTCCCTTCATAAAAAATCGACTTTAAGATTTTCTGCTCTTTGCAAATGTTTGTTTGTCCAAACTGTGTACATACTATGTAAATAAAACGGATTAAAAAGTTCCGCATTTAAATTTTTTTTCCTCTTGTAAAAYATTTCAATTCGAAACAGCAGTTGTCTTTCCATACATGCTATCCTTTTCCTTTCGTTATTTCTCCAAAAGAGACAACTTTTCCCTTAAGATTTTATTGAATGACCAATATGTGTATTAACTTTTATCAACATACAATTATATGGGATCAAGCTCAAAGGATTGTGTTTTTTAATTATGATTTTCTTTTTCACTTTTTTTATCAGTAATAATGTGGTTCGATCACGTGATTACCGACATTGTAAATATGAAATTATATTTTTCATGTGTACAATTGTTGCCTAAGTCCTATTTTAATGCAAGGAGAAGTTATTGGACATTTTCAGAATGTTATTTTTGTTGCATTCTGCTAATTATAACAGTGTGCATTTATAATCTCTTGTCTCCCATGGCAACCAGTTGCTATAASTTTTATTCAGCTGCCATGCATCTTTTGAATTACAATATATTTTAACACCGGCATATTACAGATACTTCAAGCCTTAAAATGATTTTGGAGTAATTGTCATATAGGGTTCAACTGCATTTTGATCTATGACATGTTCTCAGTCACATTTGATCATCGTACAAGCTGTTTAAATTGTACATAAATTTTAGATTTAGCTTAGATGCATTTGTTTATTTTGATTTGTTATAGTAAGGATGTTAAGATGAAACCTCTTGTTTAATTCAAGTTGTTTGTGTTTTTAATTCAAAAAGAAATTATAGAAGTTTCATCACTATTTTTACAGCACATGTTAACGTTTCTTTTGTTGTCTTGTTTTTTACAGAATTTAATTTTAGTTTTTTAATCATTTCGCTATTCTGAATCTCTGATTGTTTAATTATTCATTCATTTCGAGTGATCTGTGTGCACATAATATACTCGGCTTATTTTCAAGTAATGTTTTATTGGGGAATGGCTTTTATTTGCCTAGTGAAGTATGATCCATCTTAACAGCTGAGAAAATACAAATCTATTCATGGTATATTGTGATGTTCATTTGGTTAGTTTCTAAAAATTATTATTAAGTTTTAAAACATAATTATTATTTTTTTCTCAATTATAATATATATAAAACTCATGTTGTATTGACGCAATTCTTTTTTTTTTTTCTTTTATGCAGTATGACAATAATAGAAATGAATATAGCAAAGCCATCAACTCAATTACCAGCACAAATCACTCTGCTGACCAGAATGGTTTCTTGTCAAATGGCACAGTTCAACTACATCCCCATTCTTATGACAATAGCATAACTACTGATAGTTCTCTTTCTACTCAATCCCAACCTGGCAAACACATTGCGCTTCATTTACTCTCCAAAGTCTTGGATGACGAAACTATATTTAACTTCACAAGTATTGAGGAGTCATCMACYACACCATGTTCCCCTGCACCAGCTGCATCTTCTCCTTCAATTGAGTAAGTGGCATTTATTATTTTTTTTCTTTGGCACTTGACAAACTCAATTATTGTGGATAATGTATAAAGGGCATAGAGCCAACTTTGATACCATGTAACTCTAGTTAAGTCCAATGTACCTCTTCAAAGGAAATAATTATCAACCAACAATGATATTAAAATTAGCATTACAAGATGAATGTGGYCATTCCATAAATAAAGAAAGATGGYTGGCAATTTGCCTGCATTGTAAAACCTTTCCTTCTGGTATTTTCAAAAACCACAATTTCCTGTGGTTTAATGATTATTAAGTTATCTAGTGGGGTTAAATTTATTAAGTATTTATCATTTTTACAGCTGATCAAGTGTAAGGGCAATATTGCTCTTTTCACTTTGTCATTTTATATGATTTATTGTGTTTCATTCTTTTGAAAATCAAGTAATTATGAGCATTGCTGATATTGCAAAAATACTAAATTTTGAGTTAACTATTTCACATTTCAACATGCAAAGACTTTCACAGCATTTCACRCCAAGCAAAAGCTTTAATTAATTWATTTATTTTGATTTGACTTACATGTATCATAGTAATTATTTCAATAATGTTGACTTTAATGTGTGTTTGTTTGCAGGTTCGATGGCACAGCACATTCATGGCCCCTTTCTGCAACAGACATCCATCCTCATTCAGCTCCAACTGTTAGTATCCCAAACTATACCACTCATGTTGGGTCTTTCTCTGGTCCAAGCATCTGGTCAAATGATTCATGCCCTGCGACTCCTCCACTGTCTCCAGATCCTTCAACTTATAATGAATTTTCTTCTAATGACTTGCCCAGTTTTCCAAAACCAATGAGACCTAATTCTCTACCTGACTGTGATAAATTCTCACCATTCATTAATGGATTCATTGATGAACAGTCTCCGTAYCCCTCACCGACTGGACAGTCACACAGCTCCTCGAATGCATCACCTTTGCAGACGTTTCTCCCTATTCAAGAACCGTACTGTAATGGCAAAGTACAACAATCGTGTGAATCTGGATATGCTAGCAATTCTACCAATAACTCATACTATGGTTCCCAAATGTCTCCTTCAACAGTACATGGATTTGTTCCTTCATCGCCTGACATCCATAGCTTTATTTTACCACTGTCAGCTCCAGGGAGTGTATATAATAGTTCACCTAGTCTATCACCTTCATCGCCACCTTTAGGACAGATGAAACTAGACAGAAAGCATCTGAATGTAGAATCTGGTGATCAAATCAATCTCAAATCAAGGCAAAGTTTGTTTAGAGATACCAGAGGGTACCAGAGTCCATCTTATAAGGATCAAAATGGATCTATGTACAGTTCTTCTCCCAGAACCAAAAGTCCATTTTCCAGTGAATTGCATAGTCGTTTGGATGATTGTTACGAGCAGTTGAGATGTCTAGAACGAGAACGGAAAAAGGTATCTCAAAGCATTTCCAAAATAGAGCAGAGTCACTTGAACCATGAAATAGAAACTAAACACTTAGTRWCTAAWWRGYRCYWWTTAGWYACTATCACTGAACCAGGACAGTACTTTGATTGTTATAGTGGTCTCTTGGGTATTGCTTATTGGTTCAAATAAACTGTCCTGGTTCAGTGCTAACGACTATTAGGAACTAATAGTGCCTATTAGTGAGTACTTTTTAGTTTTTATTTCATGGTTCATGTGACTCTGCTCTACCATACTTAAAGTTAAATTTAACTCAAAACCTTGCATTGGTGTTTTCAAATCATTTTTTTATGTAATCAAATATCACAACTGATTTGTAACCGTAAACTTATATCTACACTTATCYGTAACCCAATTTTGTTTATCACATCCAGGCAGAAACTGAGATATCACATCTGTGGTCGAGCCGTAAATTCTCTACCCCAGGGAACTGTGTGAATTTTAGACTGCCGCCAAGTCCATCTCGTGTTGATAAGATGGTCATTGACCAGCGAAGGGAGCATGCAAAGGTACATGTAAATATGATAATGTACAGCTATAATGTCTTTATAATTAAACAAAATAGTTTAATATTACAATTGGCAACACGCAAAGTAAGAATCTTAAGTGATTGTAGTAAGGACCTGATTCAATGTCATCTCCCTCASTTTGCAACTTAAGTTAATAAATATTATTTTTTTTAAGGTTGAAGCTTTGGTTAGCAGAATTGAGCGTATYCGCCATTCCCCTCTACATCAGAGCATCAGTGAAAGTGTGGAGCWATGGCAGCAATCTATCAAGGAATTGCAGGCAAAAAGAAAAGAAGAGATGACTAGTTGTAATGGGTTTGTAGGACGTGGTAGACTGGGGTCAGGGACAACAAGTAGATTCTAYGATAGTCCAGGTAACTCAGCATTCAAATATCAGAATTACATTTTGATTTCTTAAATCTGTTCAATTCTTTGTTTTTGTAAAAAGTTTTCTATTTCATTGTTTCAGATATTCTAGGTTTAGTGTCAGCTGTGAAGGATGTTTGTCAGCAAACAAGAGCCATGAGAACCACTGTATGGTGTGCAGTTCACCTTGTTACTTGTGAAAGCATCCCAAAAGTYRACGTTATCCAACAAGATGAGGGTACTTCAACACTGTCCAAAGTGAATTCAGGAGAAGRAATGGATGAGGTGTCGTGATTGGTGTAATAATATCAAAATGGTGATAATAATAGAGTATCGATATACTTCTGTCAAGCAGCAAATTGCATAAAATCAAAAAGGCATAACATCTATAGTACAGCCATTGTTCTAGCCACTGGAGTAACAAAAGGAATATCAATGATTAGTTACAAAATGATGTCAAGCAAGTGTTAAACTCAGGCAATTTTAATATGAAAGAATCACTGGAACAAATATGCTGATGGGATCATTGAGCAAAACTTGGCTAAAAGTAATAATTTCTGCATGATTATTTATACTCAACCCCCCTGAGGTGAATTCCTATTGGATAAAGACATGTCAATTTACATGGAAATTGTTGTTCAGAGAACTGTGTTAATTTGGTAAAGCAAAGGACTATGGTATAGATTGGGTTTTCTTGCTAGTACTACTCATCTGATAACACCATGTGTTCAACRTCTAGTATGAACAAACTGCTTCGTGAGAAAATAAACAATTTTCCTAGTTAAAAACTGTTGAAATAAAGGCTTTGTTGATGGATTAATATTACATTTGCAAGTTTTATAATGAGGCATACTGTTATTTCTGAATTATTGTGGATGAAAAATGTCAAGAACTACTGTAAAGKCAAAATCCCCTATTTAATGATTATTTAATGATTCCATTTACAATTTCTTTGTTCAAAACTTGAACAAATATAGGCAATCTCCATCGGTGCTATCATTCTCCTGCATAGCAAAATGTTATCTCTTGACATCTGTGAAGAAGCATAAACAATTATGGAACTTCACATTTGCTACTTTGTAATTTTTCTTACTGTATACTAAACTGACTTTGCGTTAATCCACAAAGCGAACAATTTTGTTCTAACAAAGCTTTTCTAAGGTTCTGTTGTTTTCAAAATCACAACAAGAGAAGGGAAATAAATTTACCTTGGTGGTTCCAAGGACAAATGAATGCAGTTCTTAGTTTTTATTAATATTATATGGGCTTTTTGAGCTGTTAGAATCAAGAAATAGATGTTTAACAAGTTTAGACATGTTGACCCCAAAAGCTCCCCTACCATCCTTGATATCCCATAACGTTCATATAGATACTAACAGAATTAGCTATCACGTGTCTTTATTAAATTTTTGAGTAGAGTGATTAACTACTGTGAGAAAATCCCTCTTGGTTTTCTGTTGAGCTTCAGCTTTTGTGCTACAACTCTTGGAGAAGCAGTCACCTGTGTTCAACAGAAAACTAAGGAGGATTATAACTTTTTTTTTTGTTCTCTTGATAGGGAAAGATCATTCAGATTACACTTAAGTCACACAAAAAGTTTACACATAATTCTGGAATGGCAATGACTTTACTGACCATGTTCACTTTAGAAGTGAAACAAAGCTTTAGATTTTCCCTAAGACCATCATCAACAATAATGAGAAAACATTCCACTTTAAAATCAATATTTTTTTTCCATTATATAATTTATTATTCAATTTTTCTGCTTGAGCAAATCATGGGCAACCCTRCAATGACTGCAAATACAAAATGTACATTTCTCGTCTCAAAGATGCGAGTGAAAATCTGTTGAATTGAAAAACACAACAGTTACAGTTATGTCATCTCTCCACATTCTACGGTACTGTTCAGGAACAAGAAGCATTTGTGCAACAAAGTGATGATCATTACCCCCGATTGCACTTCTTATCAAATGACTAGCCGCATTTTTCTCAATTACTTCACCATTATTTTGATTGCTAGAATTCARGAACTGTCCAACTAGATTCACAGCCTGATCGTTGCTAAGAGAATCCCAAAGTCCATCAGAAGCAAGAATGATAAATTTATCTTGGTTTTTAAGCTGATGCTGGGTRATGACTGGTTTTGCCGTTAGATATGGTGGTGTTCTATACAAATTAGGAGGGACAATTGGACCGCCATAAACTTGTGTTAGAATATGAGAGTGAGTAACTTTGTCCCATTTATACTGAATATCTCCAAAGGCACGTAAYGGTTGAAGCTGGCCAAGAAGTCTCTCATTCCTTAAAAYTGTTCCTTCTTCTCCAGGATGTTCTGACCATAACCGTTGAACTTCTCCTTCATTTCTAGCGTTCTGATCTGCTGTTAGAGGTGTTGCAGACCATGATCCATCTGATTTTTGGCTTCCAAGAACAACACGGCAGTCGCCTGCAAAAGAGAACAAGAATTAGAAATGTAACGTTTTTAAGACTCGATATATTTACATTTGAAGTTACCTGYATTTGCTACATAAAGATGGTTTTCTTCGATGTAAGCTGARACAGCACAAGCTCCTGTTGCTCCAACCACAAATGARTCATCCAAGACCTTCACTGGGATTGCTTCTGCAGAAATATCGTCATCTAGCTGTGAGTAAGCAAGACTCAAAGCTTCGTCAATTGGTATTCTATCATTTTTCAGCTCTGTCTTTAWACTCTGTAAAAGATATTTCGGTCCAGTATGGAATATTTCTTGCTTTTTGTGTAAAGTAAATCCCGTTGTCAGATCGGATTCTTCGGTACTTGCGTTGGTGCCAAAGCTCGAAATGAGTACATCTTTGAGGATTTCTTTATCTGGTTTCTGCAGATCACATTTCCGGAGGAGCGAAAGTGCGATGTATGTGGGAAGACGAGTTTTCACCGACTCCGCACACTGCCAGCCGCCATGTCCATCAAGAACACTGAACAGAGCTCCATTTGTCTTGAGTATACGACACTCTGTGTTACGGTCTTCCATGGGATTATTAGATGGTAAATTATTGGTGTCATAAAACGATATTATTCCGCAGTTGACATCGACGCGTTTTTCGTTCCTCTTTATGATTGAACTTGCTTCTTTTGGGCTCAATGGTGGATTTTCTGGACTTTTTCCACCCTKCAAAAAGTCATGGATTAGCTTTTTCAGAAGTCCTTTCACACCATAGGATGAGCCAGAAATTTCTTTCTCTTCGACATCACTGGCGTAAAGTTGATGAAAAACTTGACCGAAACCTATCGTGTACAGCGAGCCCACAAATGCAGCTGCAACTCCAGCAACCGGCCATTTCCAACGRTTAAGGGCACCAATAACTTCTCCTCGATTCATAACTGTTATAGATGGAATAGAAATCCCCTTTGTAGAAGGCATATGCGCCTTTCTTTTTCCAACTACACGTGCACCTTAACCGGCCGCCATCTTGCTTTCTCATCCTGTGAGCTTTAACCAAGTGACGTAATCGACTAGTTACATCATGAATCGATATTAGGCCGGATAATCACCGTAACATTCTCGTGTTCATATCGTTTTCTCCAATCCCAGATCGGTACAACTTCGACAACTTCTAGTCTTAGAGATGTCCGGGAGAATTGTCCATGTTTTCTCAGAAGTAGCTGGTCTAAACAAAAAACTTTCTAAAACCTGTCCAAATGTGAGCTTCAAAGAAGTCATAGTTCCAAAATCACGARGCTTTGACGAAAATGGTAAGAGATTGGGGCGATTACATTTGTAATTTTAAAACGTTTAGGCCCATATTATTATATAATTTCTCCCTCAATATGGGCCTAAATATTTTAAAATTATGCATATTGTGGATGATTTAATGACATGAATTTGGGTTTCCTGTGTCCTGCAGGAAAAAGGTAGTCCAACACTGCCCAACATGTGACATGGGGTTAAGACTGGATCCAGAATTGTTTCTATTTGGTGCATCAGATAACCCCTGGCCTGGCACTAAAAATATTCTGTAAGGGACCAGTCATAAGTTACATGTTTTTTTTTTTGTTTGCACAACATGCAAAATTTCTGTCTGGCCCACCCTCTGGAGTATAACATTTGCTTTGTGACCCACCCCCCAGTTGACAGGTTAGGGTTATTGAGCTTGGTTGTATGTATCTTTGTCAGGAACGTCTTACAATTATTACTATGTTTACAGACTAGTGTAACTATAGTGTAACTAGTCTGTCGGTAAAAAGAAAGAAATCAAAAGAAATCACTCCCCGGTCCATAAGTTTGAAACAAYATGATATATTGGGTAATGCGATATTGATAAGCTTTTATAGTACATAGAGGACAGTTGTGATTGAAGRAGGTGTTACACTTCAATTGCAGATTTAAACATTATCTACAACTATTGGGTGATTATTATGAAGTATTCTTCTTCTTTTACACTTCCTCYCATCTCAAAGTTACTTACCCCAACTGCCACCCCTATTGTGCATGATTTGTTTATGCTATTAATTTCRTGAAATCTCAACAGCCTCTCTTTATTTTTAAAAATATTAGTGTTCCCTAAGTGTCTGCTTGTATTATTTCAYATCTGAGCTAAATTTGATTACTATATTGACTAATCTATCCATAGTGTTGTCACAACTGAGTGGTGCAGAAATATTAATATCTGATCCACATGTGARTCCCTATGTTCATAAACTTCCTAATCTGAAATGGCTGCAGCTAACATGGGCTGGAGTTGACCTTATTGCACCATGCTTCAAAGATCTTCCACCTCCAGCCTACCTCATCACCCGTTTTGGTGGTGCATTTGGWCCTGCAATGTCAGAATACGTCTTGGGAAATATTATTGCACAGGAAAGGAAGTTTAAATTATTCTGGGAAAGGCAAAAAGATCATATCTGGTAATTTAAATTAAAAGCTATTCTTGGTTTTCTAAATGTCTTCTCTTACTATTTTACAACTGATTGTGAGAACAAGAGTACGAACTATTTGCAAGTAAATGGGTAAAAAAAAGAAAGAAAGAAAAACAGAAAAAATAATTCATAGTATTAAATTTCATCTCGCGTATAAAAAATCATCGTGTAAATCGTCGTTCAATCGAACAAAATGAAATTCATTTTTCTTTTTTTTTTTTCATCAATTTATTAATCGCTCTCCATCAGGTTAAAAGACGCTAGCTACCGTACATTGTCGCAGCTTACCCTTGGTATTCTGGGATATGGAGACATTGGTCAGTGCGTCGCAAGGAGCTGCAAAGCCCTGGGGATGACGATTTGGGCAATGGGAAGATCTCAAAGGAATCAATTACCAGAACACGTTGATGAATACAGAACAAATTCCGGTCTCAGTGAAATTCTACAATCTTGTGATTATATCTGCAACATTTTACCAAGCACGCCCGATACAAAGAACCTATTATCAGGAAATGTACTTCAAGTTTGTAAAGCCCGTCAAGCGTGCTTTATAAACGTAGGCAGAGGTGATGTTATCGACGAAAAAAGCCTTGTGAATGCACTGAAGGAAGGCTGGATATCCGGAGCTGTTCTTGATGTTACTGAAACTGAACCTTTACCGATAGAAAGTGAATTGTGGGATATGTCAGGGGTAACAATTAC